AGATTTATTATGACCTTATCATTTTCGCAAGCGACGACAAAGAGAGAATATAAAATCGACTACTGAGATTTATCCGATCATTTCGCAATGTGCTAGTTGTGTCTTATAGTACTCGATTTCATGTTTATTGATCGTGATGCTAATTCACACGCGTTCGCTTGATGATCCATTCACTCAAGGGTGATAAATTTTTAGTTTCACGATCTCCTATTAACGACAAACTTAAATACACATTACGAAAAAATAATGGTCAATGAACATAATTTTACGATGTTTTCTAAACAAAATCTTTAACTGCAGATTGATCGTCATAAATCTGACGTTCATCAGTCTGGATTCATCTATCATCCTAATCAATTAAAAGTTAATTCAAAATACAATTCTAATGGTATTGATTTCAACAAGAAAAACTCAGCACAATATCGTTCATCCAATTCAGAACGCACTCCAACTGGCAGTACAGAAACCTTAGTTGATTCATCAAGAAAATCCTCATCAGAAATATCCGTCATCCATATAGATGAACAAAGTAAACTATCATACACAGGTTATTCAAAAACTGTACAAAGTTCTAACTCTTACCACAATCGGGTGGTTGATGCTAATAAAGATGGTTGGAAAACAGTGTCAGTTGACCAGTCACAAAAACACACTGGTAATAATAATAATAACGAGCGAACGGCAAATCCACAAAGTCCTCGAATCATTTATGTATCTAAACGGAATGAGAATAATAGTAAATTATCTACTAACCCGAATAAGATTTCTATTTCTGGATTATCTAATTCAAGTACATTGGGAGCATATTCATCACACAGTTATGAATCGGATCAAACTCAAATGAATCAATTTAAACATTCTAATCATATTGTTTCTCCAGTTCGTAAAACAAATGTGGTTACTATTCACTACAGCGATAACGATGACTGAAAATATAATCTTCGAATTGTATTCCTACTACTATTAATTCTTTGTTGAATACTTACGGAATTAATGTTTATTCTTTTAGAGTTAATCTAGATTATCCTTCATTATAATAATCTACTGTTTATCCTATCAGAATTTCTTATTATCTTAAGTACTCAGACTATGATAGTTTACAGATAAGAAACATTATTTGGCAAACGAACAAAAAATGTATAAATTCTTTACTCCTATTCAATGATTGGGTGAATATATATATATATATTTAAACTGTTTGCTGATTGGTCAATTTGACATTGCTAGGCATTAACCAATCACTATCAACTAGTCTTTTAGTTCTTTGAGAACCAATCGAAATTTAGCATCCAACGAAAAGTTAAATGGATGGAAAAGATGACTAGAAATCAGATCTATAGAATAACAACATTGTTATTGTTTTGTTCTATTCACTAGTTTTTCTAGCGTCTTTATAAACATAGTTTTATGTATTGAATAAGTAACTAATTAACTCTAAGCTTATTAACCACCACCAATAAAGAAGACATTGTTTTAATACATTTCTAAAATGAGAATGACTATTTTATAACAGTATATATATATATATATATATATATATATATATATATATATATATATATATATATGCCGTAGCGAATATTGATTAATACACTTCTGTTAAGAAGTAAGTTGATGTATGTAAACGTTATTATTTAAAATAACTGCAACTTATAATATAATAGATATTTTAATAACAATTAGTTGAATGGATCACATTGTTAAGCGACACTAATAGGTCAACAGGTTACAAATGCAATCATATGTTGATTTTGATTTTCGTTAACTGATCACCCCCTCCCCCCCCATTCAGTTACACTTTAGATTAAGTTACTTATAAGTGTATTATTTTCAGTAAAATTTACCTCACCCTTTCATCTATTTCATCGGATATATTTATTTGAAATGAATAAAATATACTGACGACTGAATAGTCAGTTTATTCTCATTTTTGATTTTTTTTTAATAAAATTAAAATCGTTCAGATTTTTCTTATTGATTGAAAGTTTGAAGTACAGTCTGCAATGTGCAGACAAATAACTAGTCAACTCGAATAATCGCATAATTTATATTAACGGATTATTGTTTAATGTTGAGGAATTTGAAGGTGGATTGATACTGCATAACCATTTTATTAAGACAGAGCTGAATAAGAGTCATAATACCTTCTTGTTCTTAGACTAACTGTTAGTTTTTGATATGTCAGTCAAGTCAAGCCGTCAATGGTCAATCAGCAAAGATAGACATACCTAATTACACTAAATATAAGAGACCATCTTTTATGTAAAACTGATTCCCACTAGTCGACCGCTTTCAGTTTGTATCATGATAAGTTGCCGTTCTGATTTATATTTGGATCCTGATAGCTTGTTGGATAATTGATTCAAGTTTATCACGGAACCAAGTATCGTGTCTTATTGAGTTCACTGATTCAATGTTTAGTTCTACCGATATAATGATCAGTTACCAAGTCATATATTGAGAATCTAGTATTCAGTGCAGCATCACAACCCAACCATAAAAATCTTAGCATTCTGTTTTTACACTTTACATAAACATAACAGAAAAATCTCAGAATTACTAAGGAGGGAATAACCTATTCCGTAAGTTTTAACTGCTTGATTTTTGTTACGTCCTATAGCCCATCAATAATCACGTAAAAAATCGCCAATCAGAAATTTGACTTGTATGATCTTGTCCCTATGCTAAGTCAGTAGTGCGTTAACTCTGAGTCATTTTATTAGTTCTTCTTGCCTAACCCTGCCCATTGAGTCCAGAACATAATCTCAGCCTGTACTGTATGAATCATGCATTTCAGATATGCGCAGTTAATATACAGGCAAAGCACACCTCATCACGCCATAAAACAGAAATTAACAATTATACAAGATTAAGCCAAAAGTGGCTGAGTGTGGGATATTGTAACTAATACATCGGGAATAAGTTAAGCATGGTAAATTGGATCACAATAGCCAATAAGTCAAACGAAAGGAATATATACAGATACCCGATAAATACCTGCGGTTATCCTTATAGTAGGGTGCAGTTAACATTAACTTATTGTATCATAAATCTTAATTCAGTCATATATATTAATAATGACTGTTTCAAGTGATTCTGATTGATCTTTTTTTCTTAAATAGTAAGTACTTGGACAAAATTTAAACCTACAAACAGATCATTAATTACAGGTATTGTGTAATTTATCTAATGAACATTTCATGCTTATCACAATGACCATGAGAAATTATTATTTATCTATAAGTTTGGTGACAAGCTTTCGATTAATACAAGATACACTTGATCTTAAACTTTACCTCGGTTTCATTGTTGAATAATGTCTGACAAATCATGGATTATTAGTTCAATGTCGTTCACTTATGGTGAAGATAACCCGGAAAAATATTTTTGAAGATCGGATTCGTATTAATGCACGTGGTTTAATGTAAACTAGGAAATATTCTGTATGTATTAATAACTACGATACCACAATGTAGTGTGCATGCATGAGACTTCTACTTTCTTATAAGTTTTGGTTAAATGGATTATCAAAATATTCCGAGTCAAAACCCTGGAGACTTATTTATTTAAGTAGATATGTATTCACAGTTACGAGACATTCGGTTTTATCCACTAATCAACATATACACTAAGTAGTTTTCAAAGTTTGGGCTATTCCATTTACTCGTCCATATCTAACAAAAACATAGAACATTTATTTCTGAAAATATTTACTCGTTTTTTTTTAGATTTGAAGTATCGTGGGTTTATTGACTTCGCAAACTTGTTTACAAGGTTTCAGTTTATTTGACAGTCAATATGGCCTGCAGTCATTCTAACACAAAATTTATGTACACCTCAAATATACACTCAGTTAGAAGTGGAATATACGAAGCAATAGTTTCAGGGGCCTGATTACTTTGTTTGAAACGTGCTTTCGATAGCAACAAAAGCCAACCAGCAATTCTACGCTAACTGGAAAGATGAATACTACTAAATTTCTGCACTATTCAATACTAGAACTAAATTTCTCCCCACAGACCTCTTTATAAGCGTAGAATAATTGTCTTTTGGTTGGATTCAAGCTATAGTTAACCTTGAACTACAGTCAGTCTATGATGAATAGTATCACTTTTTGTAACAATCTACTATTCACTTATTACAAAGTAGAGACTATGTGAAGCTTTGATTGCAGGCAATATTCACGTTAAAAGATTGATGCATAATACCTAAAGAAAAGAGGATGCTTCTTGGTATATCTTCACTCAAGAGTTTTTAGTTACGAGGAATAATTGAAATTTTCTTAACCACCCGATATTTATTCTCTATGATCAGTCTATTCAATAGAAATACCACTTCACCATTCTTGTGAAGCTGTACTAGGTTTCACGGTCAAACGTATGTCATAGGTACTGCGAATTCGTCCTTGAAGAAAAATGAGACCGCCAGGAAATATAACCTAAGCGTCAGACTAATATTCATAGCAGTTTTCATATAGATTTGAGGAAACAAGAGACAATATAATTTCATTTCACGTTAGAGAACGGTTTATATACATAGATCGATAAAATTCGGTAAAATTGGACTGTTTATAAAATCCAGACTAATACCTTATGAATTTCCAGACTGGTTTTCCTTCAACTGATGTACAGACTTGATTGACATAGAGACGTTAATGTGTTATCGAGTGAAACAAAACGTTTTCTCTCGCACCAGCGGTTAATAGTGCAGCCGATAAGTTGAAATTAAATTCACTCTCAGTTACTCCATGTAATATTATGTCTACAGAGTTCACTGTTGAGTAAAAGCACTGTAAAACACACTTGTCGTACAAGTGTTTAGCAATTCTACAATAAATAAATACTAATCGTTTTATGAGAAAGTGTTTACTCAAATAGCTAAGTTAGTGGATATTTGACGCACGTAAACTATCTAGTAAACTGATGATGTCTTCTCAAATAAATCACTGAGTTTTAATACAAAACTGCGGAAGTCCATATGAGTAAAGAGAACAATGCTGATGTCAATAAAAGATGTTATATATATAAAGCACAATATGAACACTGTACATATACACATAAGTAGAATAGATGTAAATTAACTAATGTTACGAATAATTATAATAAGAGAGCAGAATAATTATATTTAGATCCTTTATATGATCCTTATTTTAAGAGAAAGACAGGAAATAAATCCCAATGACATAACCACACACACACATACAAAAAGGGGGATAGAGTTGCAAAAAGGTGAAGATGACATTGAAGCTGACATAGGAATGATGAACAATATACAATGACATCTTTATACTGTAATTTAATTATTTTGTAGGTAAAGGAGATAGAAAAAAATTGCTGTCCTGAATAACTGTTTTACAGGAGTGGCCTGATAGGTATAATGTTTATGATTTGAATGCCAACAGAATAGGTTGTGAAAAAATGAGGCATGATGATCGCATTTCCCGATGATGAACACAATGATACATGAATTCGGAGCAATGAAGAAAAAACAGGGATAAATAATCAGCCATCAGTCAACTTAAAAGAACTAAGATAAATGAAAAATTAATTATTTGGTTATTTATAAAATGAAATTCCTTGTAGTGATGGAAATGAGGGAGTAGCTTCATTGAGCCATATAAAATCACTATCTAAATCAAAATACAAGGTACTTGTAAATTAAATATAAGATCTATTAATCAACAGGAGTTAGGAAATTACCATAATAGATGACTTTCTAGTTGCCAGGATGCTCATACCCAGTTTGATATTGGAAAACAAAGTAATCAAACAACTTACTTCAAGATTTCACTATTGCACATTGATGCTATTGATTGGGGAAAGATTTGGTAAAGATGAATAGTACACACTGTCCAACAATAAACAGTTTCCCTGTTCATTAAAAGAACATATAGGAGTATGGCACATAGCTGGTTTACTGCTGTCTAAAGGGTCATTAAGGCGATATTATGCAAGGAAGAAATGAACGATGTAGTGACTTAACTGAATTTTCCATGCATAGTACGCGTTTTTGCTTATTAGGTTATGGACCTGTAGTGATTTATATGGTTGATTCATATTACATATGTCTAAGTAGTGACTGGCATTAGGTCGATGAGATAGAAACGTTTAGGTCAGCGAATGAATTAATTTTATCCATACATCTTAGTAACATGAACAATGATCTAGAATGTTATTAGTAGCTGAAAATGCAACTTGAAACTGCTCTGTATAGTTTTATAACCACACTGTTTAGCTTATAGTCTTGCATAATTAACTACTTTTTACTTCATACCCTTTACTAATCCAATTGAAATTACATTTTTCTCGACTTTTCTCATCATGGTATGCTACGAAATTCTTGCAATACAAATCGACTTAATATATTTAAAGCTATCTCACTGCTGTGCTAAACAAACAACGAAATTGCATCACCAGTACTCTTCTATATGAGGTTTTAATTTAAAGTTTTATATTGGATATTGTGCATATCTGATAGTTGAATAAATGGACAAACGATTACAGTAAATATTATATTAATATAAACAACGGGAAAAAATATAAAGGTCAATTTTATGGAAATCGAATTGATTTAATAAAAAGACTGATCAGTTAGCCATAATGAACGTAGAGATTGGGACAAATTTGTGTTAGCACTAGTTTTCATATTGATATGAGTAAGGTTGTTGAACAAAACTGACTCCCCTCTTTAAGCTAATGAGGATATAGAATTACTGAAAAACTAATAACGACCAAGTAAATAAATGTTTGAAAGTTAAGATTATTTGTGTAAGATATCCAACTATAATATGAATGGGTTACTCTACAGAAATCTATGGATGATGGACATATGAAGATTATAGTTGATATTATATGAAACTGAACTTTTGATGTCAGTGGCTGCACAATACCAAAAGAACTATGAATTTCTCCAAATTAATACTTCGACAAATTGTTGGTGATTATGAAGTCTAACCTAAAAGATTTACAGAGTCAAGATTTACCAAAAATACAACTTGTTAACGGATCGTGAAGTCTATTACTATTCAAGTTTCTTTTGGGGGGGTGAGGAATGGGTAGTAAACAATAAGTTTTTGATTGGTGCTTCCAAAGTGGAAAGTCGACTGCTTTTTCGATCATTTCATTGTGGACTATATTTATTTTTGTGTCCATAAACGCTTCAATACTAGTTTCTATGAGATTCTCATAGACCCATATCGATTACACCTAGATTGGAGCTTACAGATTTGTTTAGGATAAATTAATTTAAAAAAGATCGCTAACGAAGTAACTACTACGCAAAGTATAATGCATATATATATATATAAGCGACACGGAGCGTAGAGATTATATTAGGGATTGGCACTTCTCTCTGTACCGGACATCAATCGATCGTGCGGCTGTTGTCCATTATTGTTTTTTTCGTTTGTGGTTTACACGAGTTGAGTTGTCACTATCATTGTCTGCATTCCCGTTGTTAGGATGAGATCGTTTGCTATTGGATTGATTTTCGAGTTTGGAAGATGCTTCACTGTGGGAACTAAAATTATAATATACAAGGTATGAGACATTTTGAGTACAACACAATCAAGAATTTAACATTTTAATAATTACTTGAGAGATAACAGACTATAAATTACTGTTTAAATCTTAGGCACAGGGCACAAAATTACAAGACCACAAGGCAAAATTAAGCCGGACGATGATTATATGATGTGGTAGAATAGAACGTTGATATCATTATCAGGCATGTGAATGACTTAATAAAAGTCAATCTGTTCAAAAAGTCAACAAACGCAGTATCAATTTAATGCTGAAAACAAACCATATGTGAATCTTAATCAAACAAACTAACTTCAGTACCTTGACCTAACATGAAATTTAAAAAAGCCACTTGCTGATTATTCCACGAAAATAAAAATTTATACGAATGCACCATTAGTAAACTATTACCATGAAATTATACACTACAATTACAGAACGCATCGTCTTTACATACAAGAAAATTTAGAAACACTAACAGAATATTGAATCATATCTTAATATCAAGAAAAAGATAACTCAAGCACTACATTATGTAAAATAAAAGGGTTCATAAAAAATCAGTACTATTTGAGCGAAAAATTCTAACAAATAAGAAAGATATCATAAAGAACTGAATAAATAAATAATATAATATACATAGTGATTAATAGCTACTTAATATATACCAATCGGCGTGGAAAGACAACAGTATGAATTTAACTCGAAATATATGTAAACCACAAAGCGAAGAAACAATAAACAGACAAAACAATATGGAACGAATCTACCAAATTATGAAGGAAATGTAGACTAATAATGCTAAGCAAAACAGTCGCTAACAATGTAAGTGTACATAGCAATAAAAGTCATGGAAGACAAACTTAAAATTTACATTATTGAATTTGATATTGACGTCGTCCAGGGTAACTGTAGGCGTTTCACTCCAAATGTCCTGGTACGACCGGCGGTGGGGACAGTCACCTCACCCTCTCGAAATGCTTTCACACAGCCACTTCTAGGAAATTTCTACTCTGCATTCTCGTAGCGGGTGTGTTGTTTACGAAGTTGAGAGGACGAAAAGCGAATGTCCGGCGCTTTAACCGGGTTGGCGAATATGGGGGATCTACCTAGGGGAGTTGGAAAACTCTAATTCCAAAGCAATGTTGCACATGGGCTCCAGTATCCTGAAGGAACAAATGGCGTATGAACCAACCGTCGATCTCCGGCTACCATGGGACTGAATCTCATGACGTTGCCCCACTGCTTTGTGGATCAGACCTTTAGGTCGAAGACTCTGGGAGTGGTCCCCTGCTTCAGTCTGGGCACCTAGGTAGTATCACAACCCACACACAAATCAATTGACTTGTTTGGCGCATATGTATTCGGTGCTCCTTTGTACCAATATTTATGTGTTTAAATAAGTAAATAAATAATAAACGCTCAAACTATCTAGCTCAGAAAACCCAAATATTCACTTTGAATACTTAAAGAATGGTTGGTATTAGCTGTACTAGTTCTCTAGCGTTATGCCAGTTGTATTAACAGTCTAACCACTATAGACTAATGATTACTACGATTTGTTGAACTATTCTATCGAATTGTCTGTTGAAGAAGGGTGTACATAAAGTGTGTTAACATCTTGAGGGCTCTGTATACAAACACCTCTGGCAAAATGATGGCATGCAACCACCTCATCAGTGATCTACTCAAGCATTGGGGTTAGACAGGTTTCTCTAATCTTGCCATTCTTCTTTAACTTTGCCATCGGTGACGTTCTGGAAACATCTCTGATGGAAGTAGATAATGAGGGTGCGGACTCATTACCCAGAAAAAGACTTTTCGACCTTTGGCATGATGATGATATTGTCTTACTGTGCGATGATTCAAACCCTGCAAGTCGCTCTTAGTCAGTTGGTAACCAATGTTCATAGGTATGGCATGTGCTTTGCACTTTCCAAATGCAAAGAGTCTTTACAAAATTGACAGGAACTTGTGCATGAACTCAGTCCTGTTAGTGAACAATTAGTAGTCAAAACGTCCATATATCTGTAGTTGTGTAATTGCTGGAGGTGGCGTAACTGATGAGATTGGTTTAAATAAAGTGAAAGCTAGAGAAGCCTGTGTCAATCTGGGCTATCTTTGATGCTTTCGTGATGTTAATTTGGTTGTTAAAGGTTGAGTTGAAAACGTGTCGGTGAGAGCAATCTTGCTATATGCTCGTGAAACCTGACATCTCATCATTGGGGATGTTAGACAACTATGTGTTTGGTTAACGTTATCAAAGAAGGATTGGTGACGTTCAGTGGCAATAGCATATTAGTGATGCAGCGACTTGGGAACGTGTGTTTGGGCACAGTGACGATAATTCGGTTAATGTCACCAATTTTAAACATAGATTTTGGCGGCATGGACATAAGCTACGAATGTTGTCCCAGCGAATTCCACCTCGTATATTATTTGCCGACGCAGGGACTGGTTGGAAAAAGTGAAGATACTGTGATATGAAAGCTGTACACGACTGGACTCTGTCAGCCCTCCATAGTTTCCTAGTCGGGCCTTACAGATATTGCAACACAGTAACTTGAGACATTATTAGGGATGACTTAGAAGCTAGCAGTGGCTTTGTTATAATAAAAGTGAGAGAAGCTCCAGTAACAGACGATTTTTGCTGGTTGTATTTTTCTCGACAGAACTGCTTCCCTCATAATTTTTTTAAACTTTCATTTACGTTTATGCATCTGTTGATTTTGTTTTAGATTATGTTTATCTTCCTTCCTATATCGCTTCATAATCTCATTTCCTTATTGCGTGACACATAATTATCTTGGTGCCTCCTTGTACCAGTATTCATGTATCTCAGTCAGCCAGTCACAACGTAGGACCAGGCACATATATGCAACGGTCCAAGTTGCCACACCTCATTAACACAACAAGATCAACACCGAATTCATAGAAGTAGTTACTTCAACGATAGTAATATATAAAAGAAAGATTGTGTATAAGCATATAATACAGGAAGAAAGAATTAGCTCGTAGAAAGAAAGGCACACGGCAATTCTAATCTCATGGTTTAAGGGAAGACAGAGTCTGTACACCTACGCTATTGTGATCGATTCTGAGCCATATCACCCACAGTCTCCAACCATAGGTTACGATAGTCACGCGGACCCCAACCAAGTAGTCTGCATCTAACAACATGGCTCAGACTAGAAGTTAGTCACTTCAAGGACTGATACCACGTTTTGGTTTGGCCACCCTTAACTTTCTTCCAACCATTCCCAACACTAGACAGTATTGCACATCGTGGTAATCGATGTTCAGGCATATGTAACACGTGGCCCAACCATCTCAGTCGATGAAGATTCGCAACCTCATCAACTGATTTACCATCATTCCCTAATACCCTGAGTTTCACCTCAGTACTACTTACCCGGTGATCCCAACAGATGCGAGCAATATTTCTAGAACATCTGTGATCAAATACGATTATCTTTTACCCTTAATGGCCACATTCCGCAGACGTGAAGTAAAACAGAACGAACTGCTGCGCAGCCTTCGCCATAGGTGACATAAGTTGTCAAAAGCCAAACTAACTTTCTAAATCCGTGCAGAGATTTTGTCAGATACCAACCCATCAGACTTCCAAGGTAAGTGAAGTTGTCGACGCGTTCGACTATTTTACTCCCTATCTTTAGTTTAGGTGTTGACGCAGGCCAGTCCTGAAGCAACAACTTGCATTTGGAGGGGCGGGAAACGCATCTCAAACATCCTGGCATTGATGCTCAGTGCTACCAAAAGACTGCATTTTATCAGCGCCTTCACCAAACAGGACTATATCATTTGAGTATTCCAAGTCGATAAGTGACCTCCTGGGAAGAGATCAATTCTTGAAAATTCAGACGACGAGAACCTTATTTCCAGCACTAGGTCTATGATGAAATTGAACAAAAATGGAGATAATGGACAGTGTTGTCGGACACCACCTGAGGTTACGAAATCAAATGACAGTTCGTCATAAGCTCTGACTCGCCTATTAGTGTTCGATTAAAGAGCATTTACCACATAGGCTTTGACATTACAATCTGAATAGTATAGCTCAATCCTTTGACGCAACCACACAGGTTCCCAGCACCCTGGTGGACCAACTTATGTATATAAATAAAATAGTGTTCTTCATTTTTTATGATAGTTTAGTAGATTATTACTCTTGTAAGGACACTGAACACCTTGGGATCGCAAATATATTTTCAACCACACTGAATCCATTACTAACATCAGTCATAGCTACTGAGATGGCTCTGGTAACCTGCTTTCCGGTTGCTTACGTTAATACTCACATGAGTTGTTTAATAATTGTTAACTAGGTCACTAAAACTCTGTGGTTTTTTCTACTTGATTATTAACATCTAAAACTATCTTATGAAAACTATGTATATTATACGATATCAGTAAACAGCTTTTGAAAAATGTCCAAAGTTCTTCGATTCATACATAGTATAAATATCAATGAATAAAATGATAGAAAACTAATTGGCCAAAACATATTAACCTGAGTACATAAATTGACTTCCGTAAATATAAAATATTTAAAATTCAAAATACCTTGATGATGAGTCAGAGTGTGATGAATGTGAGGTCTGGCTAGAAGATGAGGAAGAATCAGAGTCTGAATCCGAAGAAGAAGAGTGGCTATGACTTCGTGACTTGTTTTTTGCAGCTTCTTGTGAAGATGCAGGTTTTCGTTGATTTGATAACTCATCATCCGAATCGTTGTTTCCTGCCCCCCAAATATCATACTTTGAGAGATCAGCATCATCACCAGAATCTTCATCTTCACTATCATCACCTTTATTATTGCCATTTTCGTCCTCATCATCTTTATCATGAACTCGTGTAACAGAATTGTTACCCAAATTGGACGAGTCATGGTTGCTAGATTGCTCACTCTGATTTTTTCGAAAGCTTTTCTTTTTACGACCGAATTCATCAAACTCATCATCTGAGTCTCTGCGTTCTCTGTACTCTACTACTTCATCACGCTCCATAAACCCTCCACCATAACCTGTTCTTTCGCCTTGTATGTCGACCTTCGATCCATTGCACACGTTGCAGGTACTTCGACGTGCCCAGTTGATATTTCCACATCTATATACAATGTTTAAGAAACAAACTGAGAATAAACAATGAAGATGTGAAATAAGTCATCATTTACCTACTGTTTAAAACACTGAATTAAAGATGATTTGTAAAATCGTACACTCCAAACTTCGGAGGAGTAAGAATTAGAACGCTGTCAAAACATTCAGAGAAAGGGGTTCGGAAAAGAAACTAGCCCGGTTGATTAAACTACTGATGCGCATATATCAAAATAATTATATGAGTACTTAGAATGGGAAGCATATTTAAAGAGGAAAAGGATAGATGCTATAGAGCAAATTACGCTTTTTAGACCGATATGTACAAGTTATACGGCATGTAAGTATAAGGTATTTCACATACTAAGTTTTTATTGCTTGAATGAGGTGAAGGCAGGACTGGGAACTAGTATTTAGAAAGAATCCAACGTTCGTTTGGTGGGGCCATAATTTGTGAACGACCTTTGAGGAACGATTAAGTGACCTCAAGGTAACTCATCTACTCACCAATGTCAAAAAAGTGTAGATTAATCAGGAATTATAATTTAAGGTTATGAATCAAAGTAAAGGTTTTCTTTACAAACATCAGCTATTATTTATTATTTTATTTGAACACATAAACATTGTTACAAGGAGGCATCAAATAGATATGTACCACATAGATCATTCGATTCGTGTGAGGGCCGGGATAATGCCTAGATGCCCAAAGCGAAGCAGGTGGTTTTCTTAGGGGGCCAAACCCGAAACCATTGACCTAAATGTCTAATCCAGAAAGCAGTGGATAAACGTCAGGAGATACAGTCCCATGGTAGCCGGAGATCGACGGTGGGTTTATATGCCATTTGTTCCTTCAGGATACTGGAGCCCATGTGCAACATTGCTTTGGAATTAGGGTTTTCCAACTCTCCTAGGTGAACTCTCTGTGTCCACCAGACATCAGCTATAATTCCAAAATGCTATTTAAATATGAGGATAAGTTAATTTGGCGCCAAAACTCAGGGCCTTTTTTCCTTAATTTCATTGGGTTGTTCATAAATTATGGTCTCGCTGTTAATACTAAGCTTGACTGATGTCACATTAAAAGTTCGATATACATGCAAGATTAATTTACACGATGAACTTCAACCGAGATCCCATTTTGAGCAGCAGAATGTTAGCTTCACGCGTAAGAGGGTTAGCTATGGGGATGAACAAATCAGATTTTAGAAAGTACGTGTGGAATTCTTGCTCAAAATATAAATGGTTATAGTGTTATATTATGACTGGATTCAGTTCGTGTAAAAGTCATGACACTAATCCTGAATCATAACCTCAATTCCTGACTTCATCTTGAGTTTAGTTTCTGCAAATTCACTCTTGGGATAGCACAAGCTTGTTTTTATACTTTGGTACCACCCATAAAAAGCCAATAAAAATAAATAACTGAAATTCGTGTCCACAAGGAAGTGTAATAAGAGTTGAACCCATTGCAGAATGGAAGCGTACTATGGGATACCTTTAACAATCTTGCTGCGGAGAAGACATTAACTTATTTAAGGCAAAGTAACGTTTTATAGTGAGTAGCCACTAGGATGACACTGAACTATAGCACGTGGCTGCACTCGAAATCATTAAAGATTTTCATCGCGCACTTACGTCTTACAAATCCAATCATCTGGACTGAAAAGACCTTTGCTTTTTTCAGCTAGCTGTTTCCCGACCTCTAAACCAGCATTACCTGAAGCCACAAATTTCCTAGGCTTGTCACAACGGTTGCACTTGTCCCTTTTAGCAAAATTCACATTTTTACATCTGAAAGCTTATTTGTGAAGGTTGTCAATCTTACTTTGGATCACTACAAACCCAATCTTCTTTTGATGAGCGAGACATAGATGTGCAACGTTACAACTGTAATCCCGCGGATAACTATTCGTACACTTAAACATCATTAAGCGTAATAAACTGTATATTTTTATTATAAGTGAAACCCTACGTTTTCCGATTATTTTCTAAAATTAAGGCTACCATATCCTTGATTGGATATGAGAAATTTATAAGATTTTCAGAACAAATAGTAATTTCCATGTGTTTTTATTGAATTAAAAATTTCATCCAAACTGTCTGCCACGACGACTCAGTGGGAACATATTGCTCGAGAAGGTACTTTTTTACTATACTTTGGTCTCATTTGTTAAACGCATAGTATGAGTTTTTGTCGTGTTCAGAAAAGTGTCTGGTTATCTAAAGTATGTTCTACGAATTCTTGATTACAGACAGTTTGAGCAACTACCAAGTCCTCATCAGCAGAAACTTACTTACCTGGCATTTTTCTCTGGAAGATCTTACACGATGAGAAGGATGTGGTTGCCAGTAGTTGCAAGGGATAAGTAGCACGGCGTACCCACTGATGATCTGGTGCTGATGAGTGAATTGGCGCTTCAGTAAGGAGGTGTCCCTTAAAACTAATGAGATCGACGTCACTGTGGAAGACTTACAGAACCAGTTATTTTTGGGATTTATTTGCTGCTACAGCTCACTCCTCCTAGTGGGGTAGTGGTTACCTTAGGACGTGGTCAGACGGAGTTTTAAAACCAACGACCTTGCCGTTGGTCAACACTATTGCTTGCTATGTTCATCAGCATCTGGTAATCCTTCCCCAACAAAAGGGGCCATATGGTAAAATGTGACAGCAAAAAATGTACAGTGAAACTTTTAATTGATTGTATACCACGTCAATTTTTCATAAATCCCATGAGTCCTGCAAAGTAAAAAACTAAAAGTATAGGTGCATGTTGAGATACAATAGTATGTGCGCAATCATGCAGAACTTTCAATAAAGGAGTCCATCATAATTTTGAAGTTAACATGGCTCGACTGTATGGAAAGAAACTCAAGACTAATGTGCTTTTCTTCTAAATGGTCGGCTTTTAGAGAGTTATGTCTGACGTTATCGTTACAGTTACATCGATGATAGAGTATTTAGGTGTACTATGAGGGACATGGAAGGATCCTTTATATGCGATCGTGATGAATCATGCCGTACTAAATCATGTGCACTATGTCGTACGATAGGCTGAATGAAAATATCAGCTCACTGTGGTCGGGCGAAAAAGGGTTTCACTAAACCTATAGCGTTTGTAAGCCTGCTCATGTAAGAGTTTAGATCCATATTCATTGAAGGACATTAGATTACAGGTCCTAGTAGTCGGAGTAATCCTCGGCAAATGAGTTGTGCAGCAGTGTATCCAACGTCAGCTTTTACTGCACTGTGAATACCGAACAAAACGAGCGAAGGAGAGTCGGTCCACTGTGAAACGTTTGCAGCTGAGAGCAAAGCTTTCATCTATCAGTGAAATCGTTCTACCAACCTTTTAACCTATGGGTAATGTGTGGTATTTTGGAATCACGTGATTTCTGGTAGTGTACCAAGACAGCTGGAAAGTCCGGATTCAAACTAGCGTCTACGGTTTGTGATGATAGTTGAAGGGCCACTGGAGCTCGCTATCCATCATTTGACGACGGGGCAGGCTACTGTATGGGCAGTGATGTCCTCGATAAGCACTGCTTCTTGCCATTATGTGAAATGGTTCACACACGTTAAGAAGTAATAGCGTCCATTTGAATCTGGTAAGGGTCCTAACAAACCAATATGAACATAGTCGAAAGGGGTGTCGGGAGTTGTGAAAGAGCATAGAGGACATTTGCTGTGTCGAATCACCTTAGATTTCTTGTAGTTTACACTGGATCGTGGCCACTTCCTCACGTCCTTATTTATACCAGCCTAATAAAACCGTTTTGCTATGAACTAGATGGTTGATGAGGCGATCCCCACCCGCAGATGCGTCACACAGTAGAGCTTCCTTACCTGTTCCCATCTGTTCGATCTGTAGATTTGTGGTTGTCGAAGATAACTAGCTTTGAAGATCAGTATCATCTTTTCGAATGTCGATGCCTTGGGAACTGTTGAGGGAGGTTATGTACCGTATTTCCAAATGGAATTTTATTTACATGGGGTTATTTGGGGCTGTAGATGAATAACTAATATTTCACGTTGTAGGACAGTGTCTAGTGGGACACCCCAGGGTACAGGTTTTAGTCTTCAGTGGTGTGTTGTTCATTCTGCATACAAACGACCTTATTAGTTTCTTATAATCATTAATCTTCTTATATGCCGAAGAAATTAAGATGTTGAAGGGTAAACAAAGAGACGAAGCGTCTGTACTGATATGGATTTTCCCAGAAATGTGTTGTATATCTGAAGTGAACTGTGAGGGGCAGTCCAATTACCGAGACTCTCGAGTGGAGTGCTTGCCTGGATACGAACTTAGAGAGAAGGTAAGAGGTTTGTGATCGGTGGAAAGAGTGGATTCTCGGCCTTCCATGGGGTGTTAGAAGTGCTGTGTAACACAACAAATGTCTAGGAGTCCCCATCCGACGGTGCTATACCTCGGCTCAGTGTCCAACAATCATTTCGAAAGGAATGCCATTGAAATATATTGCTCCGACAAAGTGAGCTAGAAAAAGATTTACCGGAACTATACCTAAAATAGGGATTAAACCCTGCTTAAATTTTCTGGCGACATCAGTCTTCAGTAATAGGAACAGTAGGTGAGTGGACCTCACTGTTTGCTTTCCATTGAAGATCCAGCTTCTCCTTGGAATTGTACACTACTTGTTCGTGTAAAGCCTTTCACTCATTGGTCACTAAATGAGAAGAACGGGCCTTCACTCCGAGTTTATTGGATCGCGGTTAATGAACTTTCTTGCTGTGGCCCCAAAGATTATTAATGCTGTGGAGAGCAAAATGATAAAACACATTAACACACAAATCGTAATTAAAGTTACAAAATGCCAAAATGTGGTCACATGGCATTCTACGACACAATAAGGTGGAAGGGTTTGGGTGTGCTAAGAGCTCATTGTGAGAATTTCTGGGAAGGCCTTTCACTAATTTTGCTTCTACATGCTGAATACGCTCACGCAAGTTGTTATCTTTAATAAGACATGATCCGGTTGCTTGATTGCATTACTGTAGATGTGGTCTTACCTTGGTGGAACATGAATTTCGAAACATCTCCTCGTTAAAAAATTTAAATGGGCGACGAATTAACTATTATACTCGGAAATTTTCGGTGGCTACTGCGTTGCAATGCGTAGTTGTTTTCAAATATTGATGTAAAAATTGCTCCTAAGTCTCTGTGTCCCTGTACGTATGGAGGCTATGTACCGTTGATAGTTCACTGGCAACTATTACTTTGCATGTGCGTGAGTGCACCTTTTCTAATTAGTTGCTAAGCCCTAAACTTGGGATCACTTAACTAGTTCGTCTAGGTCAGCCTGGAAACAAAAATGATCAGCCTCACTTTTTATTATTCTCCAGATTTCGATGCCGATGACTTGAACAATAACAAAAATTCATTGACGTAGGGAAAGAAAAGTAGAGGACCTAAGATGGTACCTTGGGGTGGGAAAAAGACTTTTTGAAGTGAATCGTGGGTGGCTTTGAAGTGATATTGGCGAGGCATAAAGGCAATCGTGAATGTAACTTATCAAGACCCCGGCGCCTTACTATATCTGAGGTTAGTGACCAACTGAAGAACAGCTTCCTTAGTCAAATGTGCAGGTCTTAAAGATAGTATCTGTGTTGTGGTTGTGACAAGTTTCGTTAACAATACGTGCAGAGTAGATTTCTTTGAGATAATTTGATAAAGGTTCGGCTTTTGCCAAACCTGATCCAGCTGGCATATCTGAATTTTCGTGCAACAAAAATGGAGGAGTAGCATCACTACATTCTGTTCTTTGTTTAATGCTCAAAAACAAACATTTTGGACAGGTACGGCTAACATGTGCCAACTGTCGTAAGTAAATGTTAGGTCATCTGGCTGTGGTCTTTTTACACATATTTCAGATTTTTCGGTACCCACACTTGAGTGATTAGTGTGTTATTGACAAGAATAATTCCAGAAATGTTTCCTACGCCTCAGCAGGCTTCGGGTATCTTTGTCGATTCATGGAATGCAACGTGGTAGCCCAAGTGTTGACCATGGGATGTACGGTAATGTTATGAACTCGAGTGGAACTTTAAACTCATTTCACTCGTTTCCAATAAATCCATGTGCATTGATCCATCAACACGTTCAGATAGCATAGCTTTCGTGCTTAAAGGTAACCTTCATTCTGTTGATAGAAGAGACCAGACTAGTAGCAAGTAGGTCTTTATTTAGATCGAGAGACAGTCCCAGCGGACAGGGGGATTACCTATTCAAATAAACAAAGCCTTTCGACATTCAATATAAGATAATAGGAAACATAATGCCTATACGAAATAAGGAAGTGAATGAGTACTTGAGCTATACTTTTTTGACACATAGTTGTTTGAGGTCAACTCTTAACTAATCAACCTAAGTTGTTACAGAGTCTCCGATTGCCTGAATGTTAGTTCATCAGATATTGGGAGGAGGTTGAGCATATAAATAATGTATATTGCGTGTCCGAAGCCTAAAGTGCAATAAAACGTAGCCACTAGTTACCAGTGGGAGAAGGTGCTAATTGTCGATGACATTGTTATAATGACGTGTAAAGACAAGATTCAGCAATGACGGTCCATGTTCAAACCAACACGTATCGGTTTTCTGATATATTTTACAAGCTCACATCAAATAATGATTGATATCAGGCTGTTATCGAAACATACATCTGAAGTTGTAAGCTCTATCCACTTGATATGAGGCGAACTGAAATCTCCATCGATGTGACAATATTCGGCCTTACTCTAAGAACAAATATGACTTAAGATCACGTCGTCAGTTAAACAGCGTGGGCTACAGAACATTCGTCCAAAAGTCACTAAACCGTGTCTAGATTTAGTTTTACAAGTAACCTCACATGTACCACTATAACGCTGCTCGGATGCCCTCGATTTTGCACAA